CTACATTTTTTTACTTAATTATTTGACGGTAATATTGATTAAGTACTTGGCAAAATTATTCCATCTATAGCAAGTTTTAACTTTGTGCTGTTGAGGTAAATGGACTGGTGTAGGCTTCTGAATCCATCTTGATTCTCAGTCTGCTTCTATTCTGTTTGGTAAATGGAAAGCACTTGTGCTTGACTCCTACGATCTGTTCCAAATGCTAAAATTCTCTCCTTTGTAACATAAATGTTACATTATCACCTTATATTTAACACCAACTACAGGAGTTCCAGTTAAAAGTATTTCAAGTAGCATTCAGGATCCTTGAGATCTCAAGGTCCATATGGGTATTTAATTTTACCTGTGCATTTAATACTTAAGGGAATATTAACACTGTAAAACAATGCAACATAGCCCTTGTGATTGTTTGAATACGAGTAGCCCCCATCGGCTCTTATCAGTGTGGCTGTTACTGGGGTGAGCTTTGAGGTTACAGAAGCCCATGCCAGACCCATTCTCTCTCTGCCTAAGGATCAGGATTTAGAATTCTCAGCTAATTCTCCAATACCAGGTCTGCCTATATGCTGTCATGTTCCTCACCATGATAATAATGAACAAACCTCTGAAGCTGTAAGCAAGCACCCAGTTAAATGTTTTCATGGTGTCTCTTCACAGCAATAGAATGGTTTTGCAGTTTAGGATTCCCTGACATTCCTCCAACAGAATGATAAGCAATAATGCCAAGTTAATTTTGAAAAACAGGGCCATATTTATTTTGCAGCCTACCTCAAGACCCTGAAATACCACTGTTGGGCATATACCCCAACAAGGCATATTTACACCACAAGGAAATTTGCTCAGCTATGTTCATAGCAACATTATTTGTAATAGCCAGATCTTGGAAACAACCTAGATGCCCCTCAACTTAACAATGGATAAAGAAAATGTGGTACATTAACACAATGGAATACTACTCAGTGGTAAGAAATAATAACATCCTAAAATTTGCAGGTAAATGGACAGAAGTAGAGAAAAAACAAAACAAAACAAAAAACAAAAGCCAAAAACAAAAAACAAAAACAAAAACCATCCTGAGTGAGGTAACCCAAAACTAGAAAGATAAATATAGTATTTACTCACTCATAAGTGGATACCAGATATAAGACAAAAGACACCCAGTCTATAATCCACAACCCCAGAGAAGCTAGAACCCTCTTCCAGAAACAGATGGAAGCAGATGCAGAAATCTACAACTAACCAATGGGCCAAGCTCCTGGAGTACAATCAAAGAGAGGGAGGAGCAAAAATATGAACCAAGGAGTCAAGACCATGATAGGGAAACCCACAGAATCAGCTGACCCCAGCTAGTGAGAGATCACTGACTCAGGTCTGACAAATAGGGCACCTGCATAAGACTGAACTAGTCTCCCTTAATATGGGTGACAATAGTGTGACTGTGGCAATATATGAGGCTACTGGCAGTAGAGTCCAAGACCTAACACTAATGCACAAAGTGACTTAGTGGAGTCCATTCTATATGGAGAGATACCTTGCTCAGGCTAGACACAGGGGTGTTGGGGTGGAGAGGTGCCTTAGTTCTGCCTCAATAAGATGATGGGACAGACTTAGTAGACTTTCTAGGAAGGCCTTACCATCTCTGAGGAGCATATAGGAGGTGGGGGAGGCGGCATGGGGGGAGTGGAAGTAGAGGAAGGCAGGGGAACTGGGATTGGAATATAAAAAAATAAATTAATAAAAATTTAAATAAATAAATGTTCACACTTATATTTAGAAGGCAAAATAACTTTATCTACCCACTAGTTTCTGGCTTCTCTGTAAACCCTGTCTAGACTTCACTGTGTATGTTGAGTTATTCTTTTAGAAAGATCCTCCACTCTTACTCTCCATCATGTATACTTGGTAAAACTCTGGAAGAACCCAGCCACCCACTTTCTCTGTATCCGCATTCAGCTTGGTACAGAATGCTAAAGAAAAATCAGACAAGCAAGTTCATTGGCCCTATCATACATTTTTGATGTCTACCTTCATCAAAGGCCAGTCTAGCTCACACTGCCCTAGAGGACATCCCTTTTGCTGCCTACGGGTATATAGTTGTGGCCTAACTCATGGCATCTCAAACTTAACAGGTTCAAAGATCAACTCTTTTTTTCTGTAGTAGACCTGCTTCTGCTAGTCCAAATTTCTTCATCTTGCTGATCTGGCACGATTTCCCTCCAGTTGCTCTGATGAGAACTCTGGGGGTCCTTTGCTTTCTTTCTTTCACCCTAGATACAAACTTCTCTTCTTCAAAATATTCACAGTATAGCCCTGCCTGGTCTGGAACTTGCTATGTAGACCAGGCTAACCTTGCCCTGTAGAGGTCTGCCTGCCTCTGCTGAGATTAATGATAGGTGCCATCAAGCATAACCCTTTTAAAATATTTAAACCTTCTTCACTACACCAGCATACTCAGCTTGCCCAGCTGTTTATCCTTTCCCACTGAAAACCTTTTTTACCGTCCCCACCTTTGAGACAAGGGCTTCCCCATGCTGTCCAGCCTGGTTACAAACTCCTGGGGTTAAGTGATCCTCCTGCCTCAGATCTGGTACTCCAAGCACATGTCACCATACCCAGCTTGCAAACACTTTCTAAATGCTCAGCCTATCTTCATCTTTACACACCATTCTCCACCTAAGAGCTAAGGTCATCTTAAGACATAAACCATCATAAATGTGTCCCTTCCCTAAAAATCATCAGTTCCTTATACTTAGAAGCACAACACCTTCCTGCGGGTGACCTAAAAGACCACAAATACGATAGCCTCTGCTCATTTCTCCTGCCTTTTCCCGTGACACTGTTATTCCGTGCTGCCCAGCCCCAGAATCCTTTTCTAGGAGTAGGAGAGACAAAATCACTTTCCATTCTGGGAACTCTGTCTCCTTATTGGAATGATCCACTCCAGCCCACCCCCACCCAACCCCAACCTCCTTCCAGCCCATGGTATTTTAAAGAATTGTTTATTTTGCTTTTTTTTTAAACCATTTTCTTACCACACACACCCTGCCAGCACAACACTGCCTGGCACATACTGACTAAGTATGCAATAAATGTTCTTTGTTACTAAGTGCATTTTTATAAATGCCAAGGCCAAAGAAAATGTAATGTTTCTTGAGGCCAGACACATTTCTGATAGTCAAGATCTGTGGGCCCCAAAGATGAAGTGATGTGTTAATATCAAGGCTATGTAAGTGTCATGGTTACAAACTGAGGGTAGTAACTGCACTTCCTGATATTAGGCCTGCATCTTTTCTCATGGGCCTCACCTTTCCAGCTTTTGGCACATCTACCTTTATTCTCATTTTTCTGTGTCATTTATAATCATTTAAAATACTGCCCCCATCTGTGTTGTGTTCCAGTATTAAAGTACAATTACCCTCATTCAGTATAAGTGCATTTTCCATGGTAGCAGCACAATAAAAGTAATTTGGATGAAGCTTCTCATTTTCATCTTTCACAATTAACTAAACTTAACACTGATGAAACAGTCTCCTTTCCCTCCCCCAACTGATGGACTAGCTGAGAGGCAGAAACTTCAGCAGCCACCACTCCCTCACTCACACCTCCAGGCAGCCTGCAGTGGCTCTGCTGATTGCTAAAGAGTCAGAATGCATATTTTTCTCTCCAAATAGGTTATCTCGAGTGTGGGGAGAAGTGCAGTGCCAAAGAGCGAAAAGCAAGACCAACCAGACAACGAGATGGAAGGGGTAGGGGGAGTAGATTGGAGAGGTGAAGGTTGTGAGCAGTGGCCCAGTACACTGGGACTAGTGGCTAATCAAGTCATGGGGGCAGGAGTCTGAATTCTATTTTGCCTACAGTGATGAAGCAATAATTAAACGTAGCCTGGAGTAAGTTTTTCTATTAAAGAAAAGAAAGAAAAACTATCTGCCAGAAGAGTATAAATCTGACACCAGTCCTACTCCACGGGATAGTGGAAATAATAAATGGAAACCTCCAAAAAAAAAAAAAAAAAAAAAACCCAAAAAAACCCCCCAAATCCTCTTTATCTCTCTGTGTTATTTTAAGAACAAGATTTTTAGGACATAATTTTCAACAAGTTTCAGCCGAGGCTGAACACGGGACGCAGAGATAATTAAGGACATCAAAAGAACAGACCAATTACTTCTAATGCAAAATGGCCTGGACACAGCAGGATTACATTAGTGGGCAATAAGCAAAGCCACTGCGGGCATTATTTACCTGTTTGTCAAGCAGCGCTTCCTACAGGGAAAAGTGCTGCATCAATCCAAAGTGACTGGTAAAAGTCACCTGCGGGTCCTTCGCTTTCGGGCACATCCTACCTGGGACAAGGTCTCTCCTGGCGTCCTTTCCGCTGGGCCGGACCTCAGGACTTTCCGGGGGCTCCGGGAGAACACGGAGAGAAGGAGGCGGGACCGGTGCGCGGACACCCTTCGGGCCCCCTGCCACCTGGCCACCTCAGCACCCGCCGAGTCCGGGAGGAAGGATGCGGCGCACAGCGCCTGCTGCCAGTGACCCCGGACAACCCGCCACCCCCCGGGCACTCGCCGAGCTCGCTCACCTCCTCGCCCTCCTCTCCGGGCCTCGTAGCGCCGTGCCGCGGCTCCCACGCGCCCAGGGCCCGCCGAGCTCCCGGGCCTACGGAGCGCTCCTCCCGCAGATCTCCCGCCCCTCCAGCCGGACCGCGCCGGGGAGGAGGAGCAGGGGGAGGCGCGCAGAGGCCGGAGGGGGGCGGTGACGCCGGGAGGGCGGGGGACCACCCCGGGCCACGGTCCCCACGCCTGCGCGCGCTCTTGCGAAGACCCCCGTGGAAGCCGTGGAAGCAGCCCTTGTGAATCCAGCCCGCGTATACACTGCGCTGCCTCCGAGACTCTCCGGACGTGGCTTTGATTAGTGCCCCCCTCCCTCCCTTCCCGTCCACTCGCCGCCTCTCCCCCCCCCCACCCCCATTCTCCAGAGCTACTCTGTTCCACACAAACCTCGAAGAAACTGCGCTTTTCCTTTGGGCTCGATTGCGTCCTTGAAAGAGAATGATCAGAAATGTCCTTTCACGACCCGCATTTTCAAACTCCCTGGGACAGGAGGCCTTTCGCAGCGGTGGGTTGCAGGGGTTAGCCTGTGCACCCTGACCTTCACTGTAGCCGCGCGAGCGAGCGAGCTTTGTGGGGACTGGAAGGTTAAGCCACAAGTCAGGAGACCTGCGTGCCTGCGGAGAGCTGCCTACCTCCAGACGCCACTCCCGCAGTGGCCATGGAGCATCCAGGGTTCGCTGAGCTGTGTAAGGGCACCTTGGGTACTGGGTAATTTTTTCCCCCTCTTTTTGGATTACCAAGTAGATAGCTATCCTTTACCCTCTCGGTCAAAAGTTATCAGTGGAGATCTTTATTTTTAATATAAAATCAATTTATCAAAAATTCTCGACTCGGGGTCCCCCCCCCAGATGTTAGTAAATTCTCATTTCAGCAAATTAGGTTTAAAAATTATCTTTCTTGGTGGTTTATTAACTAGGCAAAACAGAACAAAACCAGAAGAGGGTCTTGCATCGATCCTGGGGCACTGTACTTTCCCCTTTGAAAGCCATGCATAGATTAACCTCTGCAAGAGCACATCCTTTGTTTGATCCTACCCCCAAGTAGGGTTAAGGGTTAAAGTTTAGGCATAAACTCAGCGGTTAGTGTGCGGTTAGGGTGTGGAGGCACTGAAAGCTGGCAAAATACTTTCCATTTTGGTAACTGGGAAAAAAAAACATATTTTATATCAGTGTTTATTCACTTCAACTACTGACAAATAATGAAAACAGCAGGGTATTTCTAACACTTCTGGGGTACCAATGGAGAAAATTGTTGTGTCTTTTATCATTTGATGAGAAAATATAGCTTTGCTGTCACATAAACAAAAAGCATTATATAATGTCTAGCAAAGGTTATTAAGATATTTTCTAAGTAGCATAAACCATAAGTTATTATAGAAGACATAAGTAACCTATACATTTTAGATACCTTTAAAAGTTGTTTTGACATGGGCTCTACTTATGTAAAAAATGAAGTAATATGTACCTCCCAAAAGAATGAATGAGTCAACAATGTGCAGTTTCCAGAAGGAATATCTGTTTTTCATACTTGAACTATTAAAATAAGCAAACATCCTTGTTGTGTGGAAAAATGCCATGTTGCCAAATGTGCTCCATAGATAGCCATTGTGGCTACAGAGTACGGGTCCTTCTGGGCCATTTCATGAGCCAGTGGTCATTTTTACCTGTGTTGTCTGGTTACACTTTCAAAGTATATAAAGCTTGTTTTGCAAGTCTTTTCCAGGTCATGAAGCACTCTCTGAGAAACACCCTCAGTTCCCTGAAATAATTCATTCCACTGTAGCACAACAATAATTCATTAAATGAATCTCTAGTGGCCCAAAGGTGCTAACATAATTTCTGCTTTGAAGTTATTATGCAATTGAATAACTTTGAAATGATAATGCCTGAGGAAACTTTAAGCACCTGAAACTCTCTGACAACTCATTCACTAAGAACATGTTTGCTGAGTTCCTGTCATATATTCTGGATGGTAGGCACTCTTGAACCATGCAGAAGACAGAGTGACTACAAGTATTCCAATTGCTGTGTGCTGGGGGAAGATAAATTATTAAGTAGGTCAAATAAAATGTACACAAGCCCTTCTCCATGTGTGAAGTAAGTGTAAAGCATGATAGAAAACAAGAACAAACCAGTAGACTTTGGGGTGTATAATGGGTAGGATCTTCACTCTAGAAAGCCATCATGCACATGAATGGATTAAAGGTTCTGTGACTTTCTACACTAAAACATTCACTTGGCCCATTCTCAGCAAATACCATTTTTTTTAACAGTGAAGAGGCTTTGTGATGTTGCTTACAGATAGAATGACCTTTGTATGAAATTCTGCTTTTTAAAAATTAATTCAATAAATGTCAGCTGATACTATCTAAAATTTATTTGTAAATGCGTACCTATATCCTTCAAGATATATATGTGTGTGCTGTATCACCTGATACAAATAGATTTTGTTTGAAGACTGTGGGGGTTTGAATAAGAACGGCCCCCACATGTTCATATTTGAAAACTGGATCACCAAGGAGTGATACTATTAGGATGTGTGGCCTTGTTGGAGTAGGTGTGGCCTTATTGGAGGAAGTAGGTCAATATGGAGTTCAAAAGCCAAGCCAGTCCCAGTAGTGTCTCTATTCCTCTGCCTGCCAAATGTAGAATTCTCAGCTCCTTCTCCAGCACCATGTCTGCCTGCATGCTGCCATGCTTCCCGCCATACTGATAATGAATTAAATCTCTGAAACTGTAAGCAACCCCCAACTAAATGCTTCCCTTTATAAGTGTTGTTGTGGTCCTGGTGTCTCTTCATAGCAGTAGAATGTTGGCTAAGTTAGATACAGAATATGCAACATTTATGAAGCAACTAAATGATCCAAATGTGCATCTGTATGAAATAAGTATTTTTAATAACATTATTTCATGAGTATCTTTCCATCAACATAAGTAGGGGCTTCTTTTTCTCTTTAAGCTGATTTCACCGTGTAGCCCTTGCTATTCTGGACCGTGCTATGTAGAGCAGGCTGGTCTTGAACTCTTCTAGAGTGTAAACATGTTCCACTACACACCCAGAGAAAATTGTTAATGGCTGTGTATTCCATAATACAATATGTAGTGGTCTAACACAAAGCTTTAAGAAAATGCATTTCCCCCCCCCAGCTGAATATGGTGGCAAATGCCTTTCATCCTAGAACTTGAAAAGCAGAGGCAGACACATATTTGTAGGTGCAAGGCCAGCCTAGTCTACACAGCCAGACCAGCCAAGTCTACATAATAAGACACTCTCAGAAAAAAAAATCCAGATCATTTTGTGATGAAATATTGTTTTAACATGTTTATATAACTTACTCTTTAGGATATTAAGTGGAGACAATTTTTCTTTAAGATCTATTCCAAATGTGGGTTTGTTAAAAATTACTTTTATGGAACTGAAGAGATAACTTAGCAGTTAAAAGCACTAGCTGCTCTTCCAGAGGACCCAGGTTCAATTCCCAGGTGGTGGTGTTGGGAACAGGCAAAAAGCACCTTGTCCGAAGTACTGCTACCTTGACTTCAGACTCCATTTTGCTTGTAGGGTGTCCGGTTCCCAAGCCTTAGGGGAGCTGGGAACCTTCCAATAACTGACCTACCTCCTCCTTAAACCACAGAAATAGTCTTTCTGCATCTGTAGTTCTCTAGAAACATAATAGCTGTTCCTAACAACAGAAAGAAGAAATGAATCTGATTGGTTAGACTGAAAAGCTTGCATTGTATGTCAGATGACAATGATAGAACATTCAAGGAAGCCCCTACTCTCCAAAGCCTGGTTGGTGAAAATTGTAACTGTAACTTGGCAACAAATATTTGAGATTTTTGTGCTTCAATACTTGCTTCAACTAATGTTTGGGGTTGTAGTTTAGCTCCCAAATCTGATCTGTGGTCCTGATCCACCGCCCCCACTTTTCTCCCCTTCTTTTGTGCTGCTGTGCATTAAATATTGCCTTGCAGTAACCTCTTGTGTCTGCTTGGGTTGATTCGTAGCCTCAGACCACAACAATGGCTTACAACAGTCTGTATCTCCAGGTCCAGAGCAATTGATATCCTATACTGGCCTCCTTGGGCACCAGGTAAATATATGGTACACAGATATATATGTAAGCAAAACACCCATAAAATAAAAGATAAAAAGATCCTCTTAAATTATTTTTCTGGTTATATGTCTTAATTATTTCTATGACTTTAAAATTTATTATGGAAAAATATGAGTGTACAGTTGTCTTTCAAATTCAGCATCTCATTAGCAATGCATCTTATTTTTATTTATTTATTTATTTTTATTTAATTTTATATAACAAAGTCCAATTAAATGAAAACAAACATTTATACACAATATTTGGGAATTTCCAAACTACTTCCTGCTGGTAAGGGGCGCTGTCTTGGGGGATTCAAAGGCATCTTATTTTTTTATATATGTTTAAGAAGATTAAGAACACTTTAGAATATATGCAATTAAAATGGATGCATAGAAAACAGCACAAATACCTGGAAAATTTTGGTTGGGTAGTGTTGTCATTAATCTTCTATTTCCCTCCTATTGTGAATCTCTTCTGTGAATTCTGTTAATTTTGTGATAATAAAAAAATAAGTTAATAGCATTAATAGATATGACTCCCTGGTGAGAGCAATTGCTACTCTTGAGGAGGAGCCAGAGTAGGTTCCCAGCTCCCACAGGATGGCTCACAACTGTCTATAACTTCAGTTCCAGAGCATCTGATGCAATTTCCTGGGCACCAAACACTGTGTATGGTGCATACATACAGGTGAAAAACCCATACACAGAAAATAAAGTAATCAAAACGAATCTAAATTACAATAATGCTTAGAATAGGGCCATGTCACATAAAGAAGTCAAAATCTGAGTAGAGCCCCAGTGCAAGGATCTTTGTAATGTTCCTGTAGGAGGATAAATCTTTCTACAGTTTCAAAAGGAATAGACCAGGCAACATATCAGTAAGGTTCTGTATTTCTTCATAGCTTTGAAGTGAGCAGAGATTCTTGGAGATAGCAGCCACCTTGACTTCACAGCTTCCAGCCCTTGATGAGCTGGGTAGAATTCATAGACACTGGCAGCCACTTACAGACTTTTTCTAATAATGATCAGGCAAACTGTACATAAAAAGTAAATGACAGTCATGTGCTCATGTCTTGACATGCGCATGCTTAAATTTAAATGCTAGCAAATGTTAGTTGCTATGTTAAAGGCACTCATCTAATGGGACATGATGACACACGCCTTTAATCCTAAAGGCACTTAAGAGGCAGAGGCAGGCAGATCTTTGAGTTTGAGGCTAGACAGGGTTACAGAAGACCCCATCTCAAACAAAACAAAGCAAAAAGACCATCAAATCCTGGCTTTGTGGAATTTAGTACACATACAAAACAGACTCTAAATTGTAGGTATTTTTGAGCATGTCACTATCCTCTACCAAGCACTTACAATGTGGGATTTTGCTGGGCGGTGACACGCCATTAACCCCGGCATTTGGGAGGCAGAGACAGGTGGATCTCAGTGAATT